AGAGAAGGATGGAAGTGAACCAAAGCCCACAGATAGCTAGCAGCTCCAAGAGATTGATATGCAGAGATTACTCCATGTTAGACCAATGTTCCAAAATCTCCTGCATGTCCAAATACACACTCCAACCCAAAAGAGAAGCATCTATGAAGAGTTGCACCTTCAGATGATGAGGAAGAAGAGGAACACCCACTGTGGTGTTGTCTCTGTTCAACCACCAGATGAAGTCCACATGAAAGGGAAGAAGGAGATGGATAGGGGCACCGAACGGATCCTGAACAAAGTTCCACTGATTATGTTAAGTACACTGAAAAGGTTGCATGTGGGCTTGAACAACAGGAATCAGAGCCTTCACTGAAGTCCATATACCCAAAAGGGGTAGAGATTCTCACACAATTGGAGAAGGATATGAAGAAATGATATGAACTAGAGGCTCCACAGATTGCAGGTGAAGTGAAGAAGGTAGGGCACAGTTGAGACAGGAATTGAAAAACTCCCAAGATGAACAAGAGAAAGGACTTCTCCACCTTGACCAGTCAACCCATGCAGCCTCTCAAATAAAACAAGTGTGAAGGGAAGAGGTGGCATGTGAAGGAGCTAGAAACAGTTAGTCATCCATGAATGGTGGAAACAAAAGCCCCTGGAATGGAAAAGATGGGCTCAAGCCTTGATTATTTGACAAAAACTTAGGGAGTCATAGCTAGCCTGAATGAAAGAACTGGTAAAAGTAACCCCAATGCACAAAATGAAGAAAATCCCAGAAAGCTAGGGATATAGGAATGTGAAGGTAAGCATCCGAGACATCTACCTTCATTATCATGAAAAAAAATCTAGAACCGCCTAGTAAAGACACTGGCTAAAAATGGTATCCCGAGGAGGAAGGATAAGGATCTGATATGAGGGGACAGGGGAGGAAGGGAACTGAAGTGAAGAAAAAGCCCTTTGGAAAGAACCTGTAGAACCCAAAGGGTCTGTGTTGAAGGACCTGTACCCACCATGTAGTCACAGAGACTGCCAGGGACACTGAAGCTGTCAACAAAAGAACCAATGGTTAATCGCAGAGCCCCATGGGAACAGGTTCAGGAGGAGGAGGTTGAGACAAACGGAAAGCCAATGAGGAAAGGAAGGTTTGCAAATATGCAGACTGACTCTGGTCTTCAGTTAGTCAGGAAGACTCCCAAAGACATTTTGCCTTAAAAAAGGAGGTGTGCACAATACCCGTAAAGAGGTTGAGGGTAAATGGACACAGGACAAAATGGCAAAAGAGGACAATCATGTCAGAATGGAAAAAAATCAAGGCACAAGTCCCCACTGAAAATTCCTCAGGGAACCGATTAAGAGCCTCGGTCTGAAGGTGAATTGAGGATAGGGAACGAAGGAGAGAGGATAAAGTGAGACAGATACAGGAAAACTGATGCTGTGAAAACGTGATTGAAGTATTTGGATCCGAATGTCACAGAGGCAGAAGAGAATCCAACTGGTGGGAGTCCAAAAAAGGAAATGCAGACCTATGGTAAGCAAAAGCATGGGTTTCCATCTTACATGGGAGCTGAGGCATACTGATCCCAGAACGTAGCTGGTCTGCAAACCTATTGGCAGGAACTCCAATATGCAGCAAGGAGGGAGAACAAGATATTGGCCTGAAGTGTCTCACTTAAAATAGAAGGGGAGAAGTCAAAGGAAATGGGAGACAAAAACAAAAATGTAACAAACCTGGTTGATCAACTCCAGGAAAGGACAAGTAGGCCTTGGCACTTCCACTGGAGCTAAATATGACTGTGTGGCATAGGGTGGGGGAGGAAACAGACTGTCAAAACCTTTGTCCTCTTGTTCAAGTACCTCTGAACAAGGCATGATAGGATAATCCTCAAGTGAATCAGAAGTCTGCATGAATGTACCCAACTCCCAGTAAACTGAGGCTGTAACATCTTCTGCCGAGAGTTGTGGATCTGAAACCACTATAGACAAAGTAAGGTTAACTGTATTAGGAACAGTAGTGGTAGTAATTGTAATGTGAAACTTAGAATTCATTGTAACTATGAGTGGAAGTAGAAAAATCCAAACAGGGAACTTCAAAGAAACACGTATTAAAATAAAAGATACATAGTGCTAACATGTACAAATGAAAATTCCAGAACTGAAGTTCAACAAATATAAAGAAAAACTAAGTTCTCATAAAAAACAAGTAACTGACCGAAAATTCTGTGAAGTAAAACAAGAGCAAAAAACACGTCTTAACACCACGAATGCCAATTGAGAATTGAAGTTCAGCTAAGATGCATAGAGGGAGTCAGCTGTGCTAGGAGTTGTGTCTCACTCTTATTGGTGAAGGGTGGTTGCATGGTTATTTGCATGCTGTCATGCAGCTGCCTCACATGAAAACACGTGAGGATAGTTGGGAATATCAAAGCTACTGGCAAGCAAAAATCTGCGCATATAAAGGGCAGTACAAAACGAGAAAAGCTACTATGTGAAAAAAGGTAAGATATCGGATTGGAATAGACGATACAATAACTATTATGTATGATGCATATGCAAGTAGTATTGTGCCTGAATTAGCATTTGAGATAATCTGCTGATGGAAATGCTACACAATTAACCTATTCATTGCAAAATTAATATCTGATATTGAATTTGATATTTGTCCCTCTCTATTAAAAAGTATATATTGTACATGCATGTATGTTATGTATATTGTACAAAGATATTACACTAACACCATCATCATAACAGATTAAGATCAATAAATATGTAAAGTAATATACAAAATAAGTTTTGTAAAAAAATGTCTAAATTAAACATTTCTAAAATAATATGATATATATATTACTTTGGTTATTATGCACAAAATATATTAAGATAAAAAAAATCTGTAATATAAAATCATTATTCCAGGTCTAGTTTATTATTCACAAATTTTACATTCAATCAATTGCAATTTTATTCCTAAAATTACTATTTAATTGTGTTTACTTTTTATGACATAACACCTTTAATTCCATTTACTCCAATAAAATATGTTTATTTATTTGTATTGATACAGGTGATAGAAACAAATTTATCATGGTAACTTTCCATCTTTATGACAATACAATATTTTTGATACTGTTACAACCCTACATGTATCCATCAGTACCCAAACATTTTAATATTTTCAAAGTACCTGTTTAAATTTTCAAGACATTTAAAATATATTATGTTAAAATAAAACATGCAAACTACAACAAAATTTCTGGGTGTTTTCCTTGTTTTTAGTGCAAAGTCACATAATGAGCTATTTGTGCTCTGTCCACCTTGGGAAATAAAACTCCAGATTTTAGCATTCGAAGTCTGTAAACATACCCACTGGGGAATCTACCATAAGGATTTTTTTTTTTGGTCATATGACAGGAAAAGATAAGCATTTCTTGTTCAATTTTTACTCATGTTATTAATTTATATAATGGAACTTTTTCTGAAAAGACAAAATCCAAAGTACATTTAAAAAATAATTCTTATAATTTAATGTAAAGTTTTGAGAAATAATTTATAAGTTTGAGGTTGTGGTATAAAGTTTAGCTGTCAGGAATCCAAATTACCTAATTTATTATTCCTAAGCCTATATTTTAATTAATATATGTAATTATGATCTGAATTGTATGGAAAGTCTCAATGAAAAAAAAAAAAAAGGCTAGAACTTACAGTTTGCATAAAATTAGTAAGACTATACAGATGAAAGCCAAATTTATAGTTTTAAGATTTTATTGCTTGTACTGTAGCTTGAAAATTCTAAACGGAATTAAGTTCTTTGCAAAAAATTATTTATTTCATGTTAATTCTATGAGATTTAGATGTGTTGGTTCAAATGCCCCAGTTGCATTGTTTGTTTTATTGCATTGCAAAAAAAAAGGAAGAGCTACTGGATGAAATAGTTTTGAAACTTCAGAATTACTTTCTATGTAACTTTTGCAAATAAAATACATTATAGATGCAATATCTGTATGAACTTGCAGCTTTAAGAATTTTAAAATATTTCATTCTGATATTTATTGTAAAAAACAAAAAATGCTCACATTCTTTTAAAATTTCTTATAAAGTTTTTCTTTTATAAAACTGCAAATTTTTTCACTGGTTTGAAAAATAATGCAAGTTTTACTGATTACAGTCACTGGCATACAATAAAAATTATTTTACCACACCAAAATTATAAGCCAACTTTTTTAAATTGTTAATCACAAAGTTTTGTTGATTAAGATAATAACTTTTATCTTAATCAAATTATGTTCATTTATATATTTTTGTTTTACATTTCTTTTCTGTGCTTTTCTTTGCCCATTCAAGCAGTTACTTAAGCCAACAAGGTCTGACACAACTGACATGTCAGCTAAATTGAACTTCATACAATCAAGTGTAAATTGAATTAAGTCTGCCTCATCTTGTTGAACAAAAAAAAATCTTTTCATATCAGACTTCAACATCATAATTCAAATGAAATATAAAAGATAAAGCAAGCTTAAAAAAAAAATCAAGACCATAATTTTAGGGGAAGTTGTTCACAAACATATTTTCTTTTAATAGCATATCACAAACCTAAGATTTTGTCACTTTAAAAGTTATGGTTTAAATGCCAAAAACTGGCATATCATTGGACACCATTATATCTTAAAAATAACAACCACTTATGAATCCCTTGGTGGCCAATCTCAAAGTTTTGCCAGCAAATGCCACCATTGCAAAGGGAAAGTTCAAATACTGCAGTAAAATATTTTATTTGAAAGGCTGTATGCATTCCTTTTCTCTTTGGAATGAAGATATAATTCCATACATATAAAACATGCAAGATGTTTTATTTTTCTAAAAATGGAGATTTTTCATACAAGTTACTAATTTCAAGTTTTCTTAAGAAATCTTTGATACTGTAATAGTTACAACATATGCAGTAATTTAAAAATAATTTTTTATTTAATAAAACTAAAGGGAAAATTAAATACATAGAGGTATGGATTGAAACTAAAATACATTACATTTAGTTTTTCCATTATTTTACTTCTTCCAAGCAGGTTCTGACCTTCAAAAGACATAAGAGATGTCTCTTCCTGAAATATACAGAACAATAATTTCATAACTAATGAATTGAAATTGTTTATATTGTGAATAAAAAAATTCTTATATACTACTATGAAAGTATATAAGAAACAAATCATACCAATATTTCATTTTGTAAAAAGTTAAAATTTATTTCATCAGAGCATAAGCTATACATTTCATTTTGATAAGCATATTCATATTACATTTTCTTCATAAATATTCTTTTTTTTTCCCGGGTAGAAATAGGTATACCAGTTTTTTAATAGTTTGCGAGAGTTATTTACTAGTTAAGCCTCTTTGGAGTACTGTATGAAGTTTTGGTCCCTTTATCTTAAGCAGAACACAGAGTTATTGGAAAGGATTCAGAAGAGAGTTTCTAAAATGATTCCGAGGAAGGATAGGTTGTTATATAGAAATAGTTTGAGATCTCTTAACTCGCTCTCTCTTGAAAAGGGTCAGGTGTGATCTAATTGAAGTATTCCAAATTATTAAAAGAAAATATCAATATCATGAGACTGAGCTGATGGCAGTAGGAAAAAATTCATAAATCTAACATTTGAAAAAGTAATAAAACTGTGGAACAGACTGCCACCGAGTTAACATTAGAAATAGGACAATATCCGATCCGAATGAAAACTGTATTATGCATGAAATCCCACAGAACGTGTTTACCTGTTTCAAGGGTATTTTAAGCTGTGTAGACACAGTAGTTTTGGTTTTATTGGACTGCTCCTGTCTGTTTATAGAGTATGACAATATTTCAGCTTTTATACTGAGGCTTTTTTTTAGGTAGAAACACATAAAATCAGTCCAATTAATCCAAAATTGAAAATGTGTTCATTCATTTTAATCTATCATGTTGTTACTGAAGATTTAAAAATTGTAGTATATATGAGTTGCAATGGTGGGTTTCAAGGGTAGAAAAAGGTTAACTCTTAAATGCCCAAGTGCATTGATTCAAACACCACCTGTTATAAGGTTATCTTATAATTTGTTGCTAAAAAAACAAAAACTATTTCTGCTCAATGAAACTGTTTGAACTTGAAATTAACTAACTTCAGGTTATGTACCTTCCACAAAAAAAGGTACACACACAGCTTTGAATTTGCAGCTTTGAAAAATTCAAAAAGGACAAATATGCTTTGTTTTTAGAAACTATTAAAAATGCTTATCTTTGCTGTAAATTTCAATTACTCATTTTTATGTCATCTTACATGCTTGTAAAACTAATAGTTTTTATTTTTTAAAACTGTAAATTTATCTTTGTTTTATTCTAAAGACAATGCATGCTGTTTCACTGTGTTTACAATCACTGAAGT